CTTTATAACTCCTCCTGCTCGTGTCACAGGCTCAGTGTGGATTTGAAAGAGGTTGGAGGGGGGGGGATCCAGGTAATTCGCAGAGCATCAAAGCAGAGGAAATGCCAGTATTAATGTCCTCTGATGGCAGATCACTGATTGACTCCTCTGTGTTGAAAGCCATTAGCAGAGCTCATTCAGAAAGGGCCGTGCCGTGACTTCGCTGATAAGCAATTACTGAAGCATTCTGTGGCAATGAACTGAGCTGTAAAATCGTCTCCTACAGGTCAAATAAACAGAAAGATTTCCTCCAGAGAACATCAGAAATACAGACATGAGAACTCATTTTCTGAGCTACATTGTAATGTACACTATGTGTGTAAGAGAGTTTGATTGTGAGTAAATGTAATGCTCTTCTTAATGGAACACTAAAATGGTGCACTTAATGTAAATACCAGTTTACACAGTAGGTTATCATATACATACATTTGAACTATATAGAGCAATACATTGTGAAACAATTCAATATATTACAAAGCTCATTTGGTGATGTCTTTGAGAAGGAACAAAGCAAACCACTGTTACGTACTATAGTCCAGTAGGTGATGGTAAGGCACCTGTTACTGGTCAATACATTTTGACATTGTACGTTTCAGACCACAGATATGTTACATTTGTATGTTTCATATGCAGTGAATATGCTGAAACTACATTTCTTCACAATTTAATTTTCAATTTTACAATGTGACAAAGCTGTGGTTAGCTTAACAGTGTGTCATTAAAAATACCCAGTTTTGTTGCCACAAACACAGCTGGAGATGTCCTGACATGTCGTTTAAAATTACCAGATTTTGTGCCACAAATACGCTGGAAATGTCCTGACAGTTCTTTAAAAGATACCTAGTTTTGATGCCACAAACACGACTAAAAATGTCCCAATGTGTGTTTACATAATACCCACTTTTGTCACCACAAACATAGCTGGAGATGTCCCGACAGGTCATTAAAAAATACCTGGTTTTGTTACCACAATAGGCTTAAAATGACCCAATGTGTCATTAAAAAAAAAAAGTAGGGTCCTGATGTATCATTAAAAAATGTTCTATTCAACACAAACACGACTGGAAATGTCCCAACATGTCGTTAAAAAATATCTGGACTTATTGCCACAAATGCAAGCTAGAAATGTCCTGACATGTCATTAAAATATACCCAGGTTTGATGTCACAAACATGGTTGCAAATGTGCCACAAACATAGCTGGAAGTGTCTCAAAAACTATTAAAAAATACCTGTTTTTGTCACTACAAACATGGCTGGAAATGTCCCAACATGTTAAAAAATACCTGGTTTTGTCGCCACAAATAAGCTGGAAATATCCTGACATGTCATTAAAAAATACCTGGTTTTGTTGCCACAAATATGGCTTGAAATGTCCTGACATAATACTAAAAAATACTCGTCTTTGTTGCCACAAGCATGGCTGCAAATGTCCCAACATGTTGTTAGAAAATACCCAGTTTTTGGCTGGAAATGTCCCAGCGTGTCGTTACAAACTACCTGATTTTGTCACCACCAACACTAACTAGAAATGTTCTGACATGTCATTAAAAAATACCCAGTTTTATCATCACAGATAGACTGGAAATGTCCCAGTGTGTCAATGAAAAACATCCTCTGTTTTGTTGCCACAAACAAAGCTGAAAGTGTCTCGAGAACTATTAAAAATACCTGTTTTTGTTACTACAAACATGGCTGGAAATGTCCCAACATGTTAAAAAATACCTGGTTTTGTCATCACAAACAAAAGCTGGAAATGTCCTGACATGTTGTTAAAAATATCCGCTTTTGTTGCCACAAATTGGATGGAGATGTCCCAACATGTCATAAACAATACCTTTTTTTGCAACGAACATGGCTGGAAATGTCCAGACTTTTGTCACCACAAAGAAGCTGGAAATATCCTGACATGTCATTTAAAAAAACTGTTTTGTTGCCACAGATCAGCTAGAGATGTCCCAACGTATCATTAAAAATTGATTTTTTTGCCACAAACATGGCTGGAAATGTCCTGACAAGTCGTTGAAAATATCCAGTTTTGTTGCCACAGATAGACTGGAAATGTTCTAGTGTGTCAATGAAAAACATCCTCTGTTTTGTTGCCACAATCATAGCTGGAAGTGTCTCAAAAACTATTAAAAAATACCTGTTTTGTTGCTACAAACATGGCTGGAAATGTCTTGATATGTTAAAAATACCCGCTTTTGTCGCCACAAATAAGCTGGAAATATCCTGACATGTCATTAAAAATACCCCGTTTTGTTGCCACAAATATGGCTGGAAATGTCCTGACATAATATTGAAAATTACCCGTCTTTGTCGCCACAAACACAACTGCAAATGTCTATGTGTGTCTTTAAAAAAATACCTGTATTTGTCACCACTAACATGGCTGGAGATGTCCCAACATGATGTCGAAATCATCTGCTTTTGTCATTTGATCACAAACAGTGTGTGCTGCTGTCTGCTACTTGGCAGTCATCTCGCCCAGGTGTCATGGATGTACTGAGAGGGGCAGGGGCCCACTGTGACTATGATATGATATGATATCTCCTTCGTGATCAGGAATCAATTTTCCTACTCAGGGGCCCCGCGGGATGCATGTATGAATTTGGTGGAAGAATATTCTCTCTGTTGAGCTGTCACCTGCTCTGCCTGCACAGTTTCCAGCTGGAATAATATCAGACGGAAGCTCTGATTCAGAGTCTAAAGTCAAGCATGGCTGGTGTTAATTAAGAAGTGAGGAGTGCAGTGACAATGCACTTTATAATGCGGTAATTGTATTCACTGTCTCTGTCTGCAAGTGTAGCCTTAAGAAAAATTGCATAAGAGAGGAAAATCGGGAGGCGGTGGAGGAGGGTTGAGAGAAATTTAACCGCATGGATGCATCTAGTGTTATCTGAGAAAGTGTTCAGATGCACTTTGGCTTTGCAATGAGTCTGTAGGATTGAGGACAGTGACACATACTGGAAAGCAGCAGCAACACAGTGACACATTACAGCTGCCACCACTGGTTTGTTTTAGTTTCTTTTTAAAGAGTCATTTAACATCATAATTTACATTTAGTTAACTGTCACGAAGAGCTCCAAATCTACACAAGTAAAACTTACAGTACATTCTGGCTTTGAATGCAGTTGTAATTGCTGATTGATTTGAGATGTCTGGATAAAAGTCATGAGTGATAATCCCAAAGGTATTATTGGGCCACACTGAAGGAGTTTTGTTGAGATGATCAGATACACAACTGTCCAAGCAGAAAGTACATCTTGTCATCAGACCCACAATGTCGTTCATATTTTCATTTTTTCCGTCTCCACCTAACAGGTATCTCAGCATGTTTGTAGTTTTGCTGCCACCGCAGGACAAAAGAGAGTTTATATTTTCAGTCTGAGAAAGCATTGCATGTAGAGAACTAAATGTATCAAACGTGTGATCCACTGATTATCCCTCCAAGTCTTCTTTCAGAATGATAAACTGCGTCAAGCTTCACGGAGAGACTCAGAAAACCACAGGAAGTCAGGGTAAGTTACCCTTCAAAACAAAAGCATCAATTCAGTCATTTGCAAGAGAGTGGGGATAGAAAGTGGGTGTGCAGGACAAAATCAAAGTACTTGAAGATGTTACAGTGACACAAGTGGTTTAGTAAAGAAATATAAAACCTATATAGATATGTGATGACTAAATAAACAGTAAAATATATTCATAAGAAAATCAGTCTCAGAGCCAAAGTTGCTGAAAACTGGGAGCTGTGCAGAACCTGAACTAACTGTATGGGTGCTTTCAGATTGCACGGTAGAAAGACTTCCCACAGACTAATTACACACAGTGTGCAGGAGTGTGTTCGCACTGTGTAATTTGGTAGATTGTTCTGGCACCAGCTAAGCTCCAATTTTGCAGCACTTTGCCTCAGCTTTGGATATAAATAGACAGTTTTTTTCTTAGACATGATCACAAACTGATGTGCGTTATTTCATTACCATACTGTATGATATCTGTCTATCTCTGGACCACATGATATGATTTGTTTAAAATTTTATATTAAATTTACATTAGTGATTGGGGATGGTGTGAGTAGATAATGTAAGTTTTAACATACATACAACTAAGTCTATTTATAATTACATTTTGGATTTTGAAAGCTGAATCAGCTTTGATTTTGCAGTGTTGTTTCATAAACTTTAAACATTGTTTCAATATTTTTTTCAACAGTGAAACAGATATTTCTGAGATTTCAGTGTTGATTTAGGAGAATTTTGTTCACTTTTTTTTACAACCATCAGAATTAAAATGTTGTAATGATGTTGTTCTAATGTTGAAACAACAACACATAATTTCAATGTTGAGGTTTGGTCGTGTGCCAGCTGGGAAAGCGTAGCTGTGTACACTGAGTGTACATATACTGCAGGGAGGATGCATTTTCCTGCCTCTTTTGATCTGATATTTAGAGCCAATTAAGTTGTTTTCTTTCTTTGTAATCTCTTCTTTTATGTTTTATTGGACTTGTCTTGCCTGCTTCTTATTACGCTGATACACACTGGGGAACTGTGAAAACACCAGGACTATTTGCTGTGCATGCAGGCAATACCAAACTCAATTACTGAGATTCATTTAATTTCAGAATGTGAAACTTTTATATGACATTGTAATTGCAAGGAAAATAAATAAATTAATGTTTGGGGGAATATTTTTGCATGTATATGCAAGTCATTTTATGGGCATGCCATGTTTTTTTGATTGTGAATCTGGAATCTGCATATCACATTTTCCTGGCATTATAAAGATATCTTGACTAAATATAGCATTGGTTTAACTACAACAGACGCTGTTTATAGAGGGAGAATTAAAGTATTTGTTTTATATTATTTTATTCTAATTCTTTTTCTATCTTATTTTATTTTAGTCTATTTTATCTTTTTTTTAATTTATTTATTTATCACTGAGGATCGTCAAGGCAACATATTAGGCTGAGGTGTTTTATTGTGAAAGTCACGACGGGACGTGGCGTCCGTCGGGGGTATTTCAAGTAGCTTGAAAGCAGCTCCGTCCCCTCAGTCAGACAGAGTGAAAGTTGTCTCCAGCTGGCAGAGCAGGCAGCCAGGACTCGCTAGTTTCCACCGCCGCTGCTTCACACGCTTTCTCCCGGAGAGATGAGGCGGAAGGAGAAGAGGCTGCTGCAGTTCGCCGGGCTGCTCATAGCGGATCTTCTTTTCCTCCCCAACGTCGGGCTGTGGTCTTTGTACAGGGACCGAGTCTTCGACAACTCACCCGGCACAGTGGACGGACCAGGCGGCATCCTCCGGATACAGGTCAGAGAATGTCGGTTATAACACTCCTCGTGTATTGCTTCCTAAACTGTAGTCCTGGCATGTTCAGGGAGTCTTAAAATAAATGGATTTTTTCGTGTCTCCTCGGTTTCTACTCAATTTAAGGAAGTCTGCTCTGCTGAGGACTCGACAATCTGACATCAAGAACACACAGCACGTAGGTGACTTCAGAAGTGTCAGTAATCATAACAGAAATGAGGAGCATGGAGAGAATCAAATAAAGTGTCAGGGTGCAGAGTCAGGACCATGGAGAGCGCTTCACTTCCAGCGCTGCTCCGGTTCAGCACCATGGAGAGCGCAGAGACTTCAGGCATCAGACGAGACGGGCTCTGTGGTTCAAGCATGAGGATGTCCAAACAATGGACACAGACTTTATTGGTTTATTTAGCTCATAGTGTGTTTCTGGACTCAAATAAAGCAGTGATTGTGAGGTTTCCAACAGCCCTCAAAACAGCTGTAGGCGCAGAGGATAGGCACGAGGTTTGGTTTCCATCTCTTGTAGAGTCATAGTTTTGCTGTTCGTTGCTGTTAATCTCAGCTCCAGATCACTGTGTTAGATGTCCTGCATTCAGCAATAACATGTCTGATCTTCGTTTAGAAGCAGCTGCAGATGATTTCATTCAGTGATCACGTTTTAATTGATGTCTCTGCCCTTCAACATGTAGTCTGTAGCCATTGCCATGGGGAACAACCAAGCTTCCCAGAGGTTATTTGCGCGATTGATGAAAGTGAGGATTAACTGATCATTTATGAAAAATCAAGGATTAGAGAAACAGCCACAGAATCGTGATTCATACCTCAGTATTTCATGAAACAAGTTTGTTGCTCTGCCTTTTTTCTCCAGCGAAGGATTTGTGGAAACATCACTGTGAAAATCAGCAATTTCAATTGGATTTAATTCAATTTTCCAGTATGATAGGCCTCAGTCATTTATCCCTAAGAATGCCGCTGTGGTACGGTGTTATATATACAGTTAAGATTTATTGTATTGCTGGTGTAAACTCTCAGACACTCTGCGATGTGGAACAAATTTCATTTGATATCATCCATAGAGGACATTTAGCAGAGATTGCCTCTAATTTCCCTCATGAACTCAACATCATAAAGGCTAATTATATATCTTCATTTCTGAGTGGTATTGGAACAGTGTCTCATGCTACATACCCTGATAGAGTCAGAGCATATTTATATTTATTCTGTTTAAATGGTGCTTCTAGACCGGGTTTATAAAGTTGTAAAAAGAAAGTGAACCTGATTTGCTTCTGTCAGTGGTTTTTAGACATGTAATGGATGAATACGAGGCACACTGTTAAGTGCCACCCTGCCACTGAAGGCATTAGATCTAAAAAATCTATACCATACTGAAGGGAAATTACAAATAACAAATGAAAACAATGTCATTTAGTGCAGAGGGTTGTTCAGTAATTGGTTTACACAGGACTTGTTACAGAGGGCTGGTGAGTATAACACAGTCACACTGGGTGTGGCTCATGTGAGGCATCCAGATATGTTTGCTTTTAAGTTATAAAGTCATATATATTGGAGTGGCTGTTGTTGTGAGGTAGGCAACTGCTTTAACTCCCACATGCCATTTATGTGCCGTTATTTTAGTGTCATGTGGTCACTGAGGGCTCTTCCAGCATGCGTTTGGCACAAAGCAGGGGAACACACGGGCCAGTCTGCCAGACTCACATCAGGCAGTGCTAACATTTGTCTTATTCTAGGCTCTAATAAAACTGCCAGAGACTGGCTGCAAGCATTCCTCCTCTGTCTTTTTTTTCTTGCAAACTTTTAATAGCAAAAGACAAATGAAACCAAGGATAAATGAGGAAGAAGGAAGGAACAATATGTGTGTTTGTGTGGTGTGTTTGAGTGCTCCCTGTGGGCTGTTATGGCTTCACTGAAGTACATAAAAATCAATACCCTTATCCCATCCAGCCTTTTCCCACATAAGTCTTGTTAGAGACATTTGTAGCGGATATTTCCTTCCTCCCCCTTGTTGGTTTTTGTCTGCTTCACTTGTAGACGACACAGCGCTTAAACCATCAGAATAAGATCACAGCCGATTAAACAGAAACAGAATGAGCTGCAGTCTCATTCATACGCAGTCTCCGTCTCATTGATGTCTTAGATAAAATAGAATATAAATGAACAGCATTCACATATTGTTTTTTTTAAGATGTGTTTACACAGAGAGGAGGAGGAGACTTTTTGCACAACTAGTTTTTTTGCTGTTTGCCCCGGGCAAGTTTCACTCAAGGAATTTGCAGTTTACTTTCACAATGTTTTTAGCTCCTTCAAGGAGGACTACAGAGCAGTGGTCAGCTTGGATTCACAGCCTGTAGAGTGGATTCCAACAGTGACACCCAGTCATGCCAAACAAGTGTCAAAAATTATCCAAGCATCCATTGAATCCTCTCAGATCACTCATGCAGCTTTGTCCACTTCTCCACTATTGTCAATATGCTCATTATGTTTCTCCATCATTGTTACGAACATAATTTCCCAATAGCTCTAAAATGCAACCAAAAGTAAAGTATTGGGAAATATATTAAAGGAAGCAACAATTGTTTGCCTGCAGCTCTCCTTTTTAAGTCTACACTGGGTCTTATACTGAAGAGATATATTTTTGGTGTAGGGCATCGTAGCAGCAGCAGCAGAGGTTGGACAGAGCATGACCGCCTGACATGAAGCTGCTCTGTGGAGATTGAAAGTGCAGTTGCAACAGATTTCATTGGAAGTACTGGCTATAGAAATGTGTTCTGTGGATTATCCAGAGTAACACACTTTCTTGAGGTTGCTGATGAAGTTTTACAATGCCATTTCAATACTTTGAGGAAAAATATAACCTACATTTCATTTGGGGACCACACGTTTTTTTTTTTACCCTCTCACCCATTCAAGAGCACTACCACACTGGCTTACATAGGGAGGTGAACTACTGCTATATTTTCTCTCTATATGTTGAAAATCGGTGTTCTCATAACTTCGCTCCTTCCTCCCTCAGTCACGTCTCTTTCTCAGGTCTTAACTCAGACAGGAATGTAGAGTGCAGAAAATGAAACGACGCGTCCTCACGTTGGAGCCATAATGTATTTCTTGTTTATTTCATCCTTATCTAAACAAGGTAAATATAAATATACACATGTAGTTATGACACTGAACACAGGGTGGCGCATTCATGTGTGAAGTGCGTATAGGCAAGCTCCAGGTAATGGGAATCCAACACATTCACTCACTCCGACCTTGTCACATATGGACGTTTGGATTCCACGTCCACATACGATGTGTAAGGCGTTTGTCTTCTTTCAAGATATACTTCCGTTTTCACAGGAAATTTGACCGCGAATTGACGGGTTTTTTTTCCCTTCAACTACAAACACATGGTTGGATTTAGGCAACAAAAACAAGTCGTTAGGTTAAGGAAAAAAGAACAGGGTTTGGCTTTAGAATCTTACGGGATGCCCGCCCCAGTCAGACTTTCGCCGCCTTAACTTTCATTTTTGTCCTGCCGCGTTTCCCCCTGATGCCGCTGGGCACCGTTAAACTATTTCTATTTCTGACTTTTTCGTTGATTTCTGACGCTGAAAGTCACTGCCTGAGCGCTGGATTTTCGACAACTTCTGAGTGAGACTGGGCTTGGGAATCAGGCACAGTTTTTGACCATGTTATGTAAGCGTGTCGTGAGTATTGACTTGGAAAACTTAATTTGCTGAATGGAATAATGATTGAATATTGACAATGCTGTTGCCTTCTATGTTATGGTGAGCATCAGTACATTGTATTGAGAATAAATGGATCGCCAAAACCAAAGAGATAACGTGCACTGGACATTAGTTTACTCTTTGTCCAGAACATGCGTCCAGACCAGGATCACCTGTTCGCCCCTCAGTGGCTTGTTTAGACATTTTGTTTTGTTAAACGTCACTATGCTTGTTCAGTCCAGCATCATTTTGAGGAGACTGCAAATAATCCTGAGGCACACCATCTCTATGGTCTTATAATGTGTAGAAAGAATTAAGTACTCACTGCCATTCCAGTACTGATTATAGATCTATTCAGTCTTTTGGAACAGTTGGCTGTATTTCTTTTGCTGTCCCATTAAATCAGACCAATCACTAAACAGATTCACTTTGAAGGGACATTGGCATCTGGTAAAAGAACAAACAAACAATCAAAAAATGTAATGGCTCCCCTGAAGCGTTCTCTCTCTTTGTTCCTCATCCCCTGCAAGAAGCATTCAAGGAGTTGTTGTATCGGACCTCAGTTGATTTGTGAGTCGGGCTGGAGGACAAAGAAACGAGGACGGGAGGAAGAATAATTACCTGAAAGAAAAGCACTCGTTGTAGAGCATGTTGAACACAAACTATCTGTGATTAAGTTGTGGCCAGAAGCGTGAAATCTTTAAATGTTTTAGCCTAAACAAAGCTGAGCAGCAGCAGCACTGTATGTATTCAGTATGTGAGCCAAGTTTCCATTTTATCAAAAGATTTTAAATGTTTGATTTTTCCAGATTTTGCTGCTAAACAACACACAAAAAAGCTGGCTTTGCTCACCCCTATTTAAAAATAAACTGGCCTTGAGGTGACTTGCCTACAGTGTACACACCAGTGTGACTAAATGCTTTCAGCAGCACGCTGGCAGCTCTTTGTGTTGAGCCGATTTATTTGTGCCTCTTAACCATACTAAGCATTGATCAGTGTAGTAGAGCGAAGGAACGACATGTCTCAGGCCCAGCTGAGCAGAGTGCTTTAGATGGGGGAATGTGGAGTGATGCTGGGGGGAGGGTTAGGTGAGTTAGTATTAGTCACATCTGTCCGTTTAGTAGCCTCACGCTGAACAGAGCAAAGCTCAGAAGCAACAAGCAGAGACAAGTCACTCATCTGTGGTCTTGAGTTCTGCTGACTGAGAGACATTCACACAGAGGGGGAGAGAGGACTGCAGGGCTGCCGCTGCTACTGCCTGTCTTGTGTCTTAGACTT